CCCCAGGCTCTGGTCTCCCAGCCCCCCCCCGCCCACATGGGCCCTCGGATGTCCCCGGGATTGCCCCCTCGCGTCAGATCTCCCGCCGCAGGCCTGGCCACCCGAGTCGTCTCAGCGCTCGTACACTGCCGCCTCATGGTTCTCCCATTTCCTCTCCCCAGGCTCTGGTCTCCCAGCCCCCCCCCGCCCCCCCAGTCCCATCGCCTTCCTTGACTCCTGTGACCCCCCTCTTTGGCCTTTAGCTGTTCCCACACCCTACGTTCTGTCACCGCCGCCGAGCCACCCCCCTCGTGGTCTTTTTCAGATGCTTTTGGCCCAGTGGCTTTGTAGCCCCTCTTTCTCGCAGCAGTTTGCATCCCTTCCAGATCACCCCAGACTCTATGCCTGGTGTCTACTGAAGTCATTATCCATCTTCCCATACTTTCTTCCAATGCTTCCTTTTTCACCGGTGCTCCCCCAAGCCCCCTTTGAGGCCTCCCAGTCATCATGATCCATTTGCTACCAGTGTCGCTATCTGTGGCTACCATGTAGCCCAGTGGATCTGGCAAATTGTGCCTGGCTCATTTTTATAATGCTATTCTGAATATATATTTGATAATACATGTGATATATTTTTTAATGCATTTGTTATCCTATAGTAATAGAACATTGAAACATTTGGGCTGGGTGGTGGGAGTATTTCTATTGGGAGGGAGTAAGACTTCACCTGAACATGCTATTCTGGAGTCTGGGTCCAAAATAGTGAAAATGTATTATTTTCCTTGTTCACAGGTTTGTGAGATGGCTGCTGATATTTCTGAATCCGGTGGGCATGATTGCAAAGGAGACTTGAAGAGTAATATCAAGTTAGATGCGGATTACCCACTTCGAGTCCTTTACTGTGGAGGCAAGTGTTGAATTGCAGAATATGGCTTTTACGCACTGTATTGGGGGGTGTAAGGGCAACTGAATGCCAAAATAATTTCACATTTGGTCCTGTTGATTGTTTTTTCGTCTGTTCTTGTTCATTTAGTGAATCCTTAAATGGGAGGGGCAGAGACTGGTGTGGTAGGAGGCAGGGTTAACATTTTTTCATGCTTTGTCACTTGTATCTTGCTCCTTAACCTGGAGTTTACAATCCAGTTGGATAGCAACATACAAGTAGGTTATTTCAGCCTAATGTTACTTGCTCCTCTACTAAAGGAGGGCTAATTTGTATCTTAAGAAGTGGAAAGGACTGAGTGAGAAAATGGGGAAGAGCATCCCAGATGAAGTGAACAACTTTGAGCTTGAGCATGTCTGGAGAAGTGAACAGCTTTGTGTCAGTAATACGCACAGCATAAGTTCGTGGGTGTCAGAAAGGAGTGGGTCTTGAGGTTGGAGAGAAGATAGTAGGACAGTTGAAAAAGTCTTCTATTTGGATATATTAGATTGGATATATTAGATTTGGATATCACCCCCTGTTTTTTTCCTTTTCAGTATAAAAATATTTATGAACTGAAACTGTTCAGATTATATTAGGATCTTGGAAATTTTCAGAAAAAAATTGAGTACACTTGACAATGAAAGGGCAAATAGTCCTAATTTCTTTCAGTAGATAGAAACTGAAATGTGTCTATCATGTGAGTAGTAAATAAGCCAGGAAAGGCCCTTGTTCTTGTGGACTTTAGATTTGGGGAGTGTAGCAGAGATCTTGTGTAGAATTTAAGTGAAATAGAAGAAGTGCAGTTTCAAAAATTGCACAAACTCACCATTTATTGAATATCTGATTAGTGTGCAGGGAATTGATAGGGTTTGTTTTATACTGGCCTTATTTGACTATATTCTTTACCTTTGAAGTCATGGGCCATGTTTTGCATCATGACTATAGTGTGATCTTGGGCAAGCTGGCTAATTTTCCTCAAGATTAGAGTTGAGGTCTGTAGAATTAGATAATAATTCTATCTAGCATCACATAATTTATGTAGACCACCTCTTGTTAAAAAATACAATAGTCAAGTGTGATTTGTTCAGTCTTGTTTGTTAGATATAGTTAAGAGTTAGCGTTCTTTGATCCAATTATTTTGCATCTAGAGTTCCATATTTTATAATCTGTACCATTATTGTAGGAGAGGAAACATACCAGTTAGATTGACATGCCATAATTAAAGATAAGTCCTTAGAAAAAAGTGGAATAAATAAAAGCATAGGAATTGATGAAATACAGTCGATATTTTTTCTCAATGAGCTTATGGTCTAATTCTAGTTAGTAATTGTTTAATTGGTGAGACTGTGGGGATTATTAAATACTAAATTAAATGGTACTAGTATAAATTTGAAATAGGAGTTTAGGGAAGGAAGGGATTTCTATTCAGAGGAGAATGGGAAGTTTCCAAGAAAGTGAGAAGTCTTAGGTAATAGGGAACATTTCCAGGAAAAGGTGATGGAATACATCAAAGCAGTATGATGGCAGATTTAAAATGGTACCTACAGTAGAAAAGAAAGGGCTGGTTCAAGTATAGTGAGAAATAATGACTAGGTGGACTAGTCATTCCTAGAGCGACATTTTGTCTTCAGGATTGAGACTTCAGGCTCAGAAGTGATCTGAGTTTGAGTCCTGGCTCAACCACTATGGTAATGATCAGTTCCCTCACCCATAAAATGGTAACAGTAGAGCCTATTCAGAGGACTATTGAGAAGAGTAAATCATACACAGAAAGTGTATAACAATACTTGGCATTTGGTAAGTTCTCAATAATAGTAATAACAAGAATTATAATAAAAGAACAATTACTGAAAGTTAAATGTGAAGTTTTATGTTGCTACAGTTCCCTTTTCTGTAGTCCTTAATTAGGTTTTGAGCAGAAAAACAGCAGAGTGACTAGAAAAGAATACTGTGCAGTTATTCAGAGAAGGGAGAAATGAAGAGGCCAGTCTGAGCTGTCTGGGTTTGAGATGAATGAGGCAAATGGATGTCTATTTATTTAGCGTGGAGGCAGTGAAATGGAAATAAGAAAGATTAATCAAAAACGAAATGTTTAATAGTAAAAAGGGGATAAGATTCAGAAATTAATTCTATGAGGGAGTTGGGGGAAAGAAAAACGTCATTTAAAGTGATGCATTTCAGAAGAATTGAACTTATAGGTGGATACCTTTTCAAATACAATGAGTTTGAGTTTCTCCAAATGAAAAATGCAAGAATGGTGAAATAGACAGCAGAGAGATGTAGAAAATATAAATCCTGCACTGTTAGCCACACACATAATGGGTTGAAGGTAAAAAAGAGTATAAACTTTCTGGAGAGGGGGCTAGGGAGAGAAAGAAAAATGGAATGTATAGCCGGAAGATCCTGGGGGTGCACTTGGAGTGAGATAAACTGGGTAATTGCTTAATTGGTGAGAAATTAAAAATTGGTGAGAATGTCAGCCTGCAGGATTCCTGTGTTCTTTTTTTCTGTAAGTATGATATATAACTAAAGATACTAGAGAAAGTGGTACATACATTTTAATGAGATGCCCAGAACTTAGGTTCCTATTATATTTTACTTGTGAAACAACATTTTCAATCTGTGAAGAGCAGAGGATGGCTATTCCTATTCCGGTTGCTTCCAGGAGTCAATGAACAGGGTGCTAGGGGGAGGCGCATTGCTACAGGAAGATGAGTTTGTACGAGAGAGTGACTCATCCACGATGAACAGTCCCAAATAAGCTTCTACTTGATGAGAAAACACGCTTAGTTAGGGGCAGTAACAGAGATAGATTTAGACTGTACCATTTAAGTTCCTTCTAACACTGTCATTTTATGGACTGCTTAGAGTAGACTTGCCAGCCATCTGGGTGAGATGGTACATTGGTGGTGTTAATAGGGTTCCTATCCCAGTGACTCTACAGTTCATAGCTCTGTGGAAGGATATAGATAGCAGCACCCTCCTCTCCTCTGTGCTGGTGAGTGGTGAGAGCAAGGTACAAGGTGCAGCACAGTGGCTTAGAGAAGAGTGATTCCTTCCCATTGTGGGGAAACCATGGTAGAACCAAACTGGAAGAGGGGGCACTCAGCATGAATGGAGGGGTGGAAGGCATGGCTCTGTAGGCAGAGGAGCACAGGAGAGATGGGAAATGAAGTTGCAAGTGTTTGTGTTCAATTATAATAAGGATTCACAAAAGGAATAGTAGGAAATTGGACAGAAATATGGTTTGGGGCCAGGTTGGGGGGGCTGCATTTGCAAACCCCCAACTGTGTTCCATAGTGAAGGTTTTTTTGAGCAGAAAAGTCACAGGAAGATGAATCTGGCAGCAGGATAAAATTGGAGGGAGGCAACTTTACTGTTCAAGTTGTAAGATTCTAGAAAGAATTAAATAAAGGTGGCATAAATAAGAAGGGAATGTTGGGAGAGAGGTGATGATGGTAAAATCAGCAAGATAAAGCAGTTAATCAGGTTTGAGAATAAGAGAGGAAATAAATACATTTACTAAAATTGTTCTGAACAATGTCTGGCAGACTTTTAGTATTGGCATACTGAGAGGAGAGGGAAACCCTCAAGTAGAATACCGGAGAGTGCAGAGAAAAATGGCAGAGTGATGTGGGCACACTGCAGATCTCTCCTTGTCACCTCCCCTTTTTCACAGAGAAAAAGACATACAACTTGAGCAGGCTGGTTTTGGCACTCAGCTGCATTCTTAAGAAGGTTTCAGAGAGCATCTTGATTCATTGTGCCTTAAGCATCTGCTCTGTCCCTGGCGTTGTGTTCCATATGAAATGAGTAAGACTAATTATCTTTGAGAAGCCTGACTGTGAAGACGTTTTAACAAATGAGTTATGTACTAAGTGTGCACTAGAGAATTGATCAAACTGCTGTGGGAATAGAGAAAGAACCAGCCGGTTCTTCTTGGGAGAAATAAATAAAAAAGGAAGTTAAAGCTTGTTGAGTAGATTTTTAGTTTGCCTTGCCTACATTTTTTTTTTTAAGATTTATTTATTTATGCATACTGAACTGGGGCACAGGCCAGAGGTGTGAGTGATGAGAGGATCCACCAGAGACTGTGGGGGAGCAGAACAGGCAGAAATGACAAAATTCAATGCTGAGGGGAGCAGCAAGCAGGAGCGGTCTGCCACGCCATGTGGATCACCTCCGGAGCAGGGATCGAACTCATGCTGAAGTGGCTTTAGCTTCTTAGTGTTGTGCTGTAGCCCACTGTGCCACCAGGGAGGGCCCGCCTACATTTTTTAAAATAATATAATAATTATTTTTTTTAATAATACAATAGTTTATTTTTACATCATTTTGTATCTTATTCCATCTCAGTTGTAATCCCCATGGGCTTCCCATCACCAAATCACCCATGTGCCATCACCATAGTCCAGTGTACTTCTTTCACCCCACTGTTTTTGATCCCATTCCCCATTCCACCCCCGTAAAATGTCTCTGGTATATTGTTGTTCATTATTATTTTCTCGCCTTGTCCTTTATACTGCTATAGCTGAAACCATCCAGTATTTTTCCTTTTCTTTCTGGCTTACTTCACTAAGCGTAATTTTTTTCCAGCTCCATCCATGCTGCTGCAAAAGGCATGTGTTAATTTTTTTGGTTGCTGAGTAATACTCCATTGTGTATATACGTTCCACATCTTTTTAATCCAGTCATCTACTTTTGGGCATTTGGGTTGTTTCCATGTCTTCCCAATTGTAAATAAAGCAGCAATAAACATGGGGATGCAGGTGTCTTTTGAATCAGTGTTTTTGTGTCTTTTGGGTAGATACCTAGGAGTAGGATTGCTGGGTTGTAGGGAAGCTCCACTTTTAGCAGTTTGAGAAACCTCCATACAGTTTTCTATAGTAGTTGTACTAGTTTGCATTCCCACCAGCAGTGCAGTGTAGTTACTTTTTCTCCATATCCTCACAACATTTGTTGTTGCTAGTTGTTTGAAGATG